GTGTTTTCAGTATGTAAAAGGTGGACAGAACGTGCTAAAGGTTAAAGGTATTCTTCTAAGTAGGCCTTCTAAGTAGTGGTAGTAAAGTGAAGCCTAGGTAGATCAATGATTACATCTCAGTTTTTTTAGAAACCCCCAACTCCTGGTTGTAACCTTCATAAGTGCCTCGCTGTCCTGCCCCTCCCCCATTCCCTGGGACAAAATGGCTCCAGGAGGTTAGAGTTGGGTGTTTCCAGTCCTTCCAGGCCTGTCAGACTGCGATAAGACAGCACTTTCCTGTGAATGGGATTCTCTTGAGAGCTGGCCTGGTTAAGCACCTTTCCTATTTCAGAATGTTACTCTTTTGCTCCCCCTGCTGGAAGCAACAGGGAATTTTTAAATGTTTATTGTGAGTCTAGCAGAGCAGGAGGTAGAGCTCTGGACTGATTGCTTGGAGTTCCCCTAGGAGCCGCCTTCCCTCCGGTTCTTAACTCTCAGGTTCATCCACACGCAGCCTCCAGAGGCTCATCATTTCCCTCCCCCCCTCATTTATAGTTTTCCTTATGTGGCACTAGTCTCCACGAAGGTTTCCCATAGAGACCATCCCTTCATTCTGACACTACCTGAATGTCTCTCTCTCCAGTGGGGGCAGTGGCTTGCTCCTTGACCTCAACTCTCTGATAGTTCACGGAGGAGGTGTTTATTCTGTTTCGAACTTATTAAGATGAAGTCTTGGTTTTCAGCCTCTTTACCTGCTGAACCAGAAACAGCAATTTTTTAAAAAAGAGAGGGGAGAGAAGGTAATGAGATCTTTTCCTAAAGGATAAATTCCTTGGAGTGTCCCTGGCATGAACGTGGATGGCCAGTTTAAAAACTGGTCACTGAGGTATTCTACAAAGTTATGGTCATGAATGAATGGATAGCAACAGCTTCCTGTGGTTTAGACACTTTGCAAAAAGGGAGTTTCCCACATCTCTGATTTTTCTAATCACTGTATGCAAACATAACAGCAACTACATTTGGAGATACTTGAGCTCAAAATGGCTACCAACAAATAATCCATTAAATTAATAAAAATTATAACTCATATAGTACATTATAGCTGGATAAATCTCCATATATGATAGGCTTTGATGAAGCAATTTTCTTAACTCATAGTTTAAATTCCTTCATTTATTTAGTCATCAAACAGTCGTTAGGATATGCCAGGCACTATGCTAGAACTCAATATAATTAGAACACAGTCCCTGCCAGAAATGCATTTAAACTAGTCAGAAAAGCGGTCACATGCATAGAGTCAGAGAACAGTGAGACACATTAGATAATACGAGGTATTCAGGTTTGCAGAATGGTGAGGGGAAACCCTACCCAGCCTGGAGGAAGAACAAAGTAAGAAAAAAAAGGTCAGAGAAGACATTCAGCATGTAGCAGCACTTGAAAGAATATTAATAAGCCTGACCTCTTTCCCTATAAATCCCACAGACTATGTATTTTTTTCATCCTTCTTTTGGCCATATTCTAAAGGTTGTCAATCTTAGGGATAAGTGCAAATAACTGGATAATCCAGCAGGGTTTGCACGTTGCTGCAAAAATGATGAAGCATCCCAAACCAGCCAGAGGGAGGTCATGTGGGGTCCTCACAGGGGTTATAGTGATGCCTCTGCAACATTGTAGATTACAGCCAGAATGCAGGTGTCTAGATGTCTAACCAAAAGCACAGGGCAGTGATGCAAATGTTTGTAGAGACCAAGTGCCCAAACCAACTCAAAACCCACATATTTATTGCAAAGTGCCAACACTACACTTAAACCTCAATATATGACCAGCCCTGTGAAAGCTCAGATGAGCCACGAGTGATCAGCTGGTGACATCATTGCCTGGTCCTTTCCAAGCCTGCACATGGCCCTTAGGTGAGCTGTTATCCGATGCTCAGCTACTGAGGCGATGCTTAGGCGACTTGGCTCAACTGCCAACAGAGAAGGCTCTGCGTGCCGTTAAGTTTGCTACCATGCACTAGAGCATCAATTGACAAGAATCACTGTTACATAATACAGTGACATTTAGGTAGATTTCTGGTCTTCAAGATCCCCCAAATTAAAGAACCTCTGCAGTCAGTCATCTATAGGAATCATGCCAGAAAGATACAATCACAAAGTGTGTGCAAGAAAACACTCTCAAGTTCATAGCTTAGAAACCTTTATTTTAGAGGGGGGACCTGATAGGAAAGTTGCTTGCAGGAACTCATGAAGCTATTTACTAACAGGGAGGAAACCAGGGCTATGTTGTTTCCTTATTTTTAAAAATGAGGGCTTAAGGTGAAGAACACTTTCTTAGCAAGCATGAGACCCTAGGTTTGATTTCCAGGATCAGTAAAAAAGATATATTCATTAAAAAAACTGAATGATGTCTAAGTCTCAGGCACTGTGCTAGATGTGAGTACAAAATGTATACATGTATTTTTCATTCTTGTTCCACCCATCTCCTGGTATCCATGCAGTTTCATCCATAAAAACTCTGGGAGTCTTTCTTTCTTTTCCTTTTTCTGGTACTGGGGATCAAATTCATAACCTCACCCTTGCCAAGCAGGCACTTAAGCCACTGAACTAACCCTCCAGCCTTTGGGTTTCTTCAAAATATGAAGACTTTTTATAAATCATAGCCACCATTATCATTGCCCTCAAAATATGTCACTACCAACAAATATCTAGTCAGTGTTGAAAAGATGTAATTGTTTCATAAGTGAGTTTTTAATGATTCTTTGTGTAAACAGGACCAGTGTCCATGTTACCAATTTTGACATATTTTATTGAGGAAAGTGGGTCATTATTCCCACAGTTTGGAGGTTGATTCAAATCTTACTTTTCACTTAATATATTCCATCTTCTGATTTAAAAAAATAAAACTAGCACTTACATCTAGTAGCTGGAGTAGATTGTTTTAATTTTTGAGGAAAATATTGCATGAGTAGTTCTGTACACTTTCTATCGATCTACTTCAGGAGGCCCAGGATACCTAGCTGTCATTCTCTGGGGAAGGTACAATTAGTCAGCAGGTGTTGTCAAACTGATTCACCCATTCTAAAATCCCAAAGGTGCTACTTTAGATAGGGTGTGGCCCTTCTGGAGAACTGAATTTTAAACTGTGACCTAAAGGACAGAAAACTGCATACAAAAAAGAAAGAGCATAGTGGGTGGGAGCCCCACAGTGAGAAAGAGCTCTCCATGTACCCAACAGCCCCCCTCCCCGATCTGTAGACCTCTTGTAATGTAAAATTCTACACTAATCCCAGTAATTTTTCCAGCCTCAAAAAGGTGAGAGCAGAGATCTTTCTCCTGCTGATGTTAGTAATCAGTGGCACTTTCAGCTGCAAGAATCTTAGATACATAACTTTGCTCTCTTGGAAATGTTTAGGTGCAAGACTTAATCTGACCCAAAAACCAAGTACACTTTCCTTCAAGACCTGTTTCAAAAGATTGAAGCAATCTAATCTGATAGACATGACAACCTGGCAGGCATTTCTTGAGGGTACAACTTATTTGCTCAAGTTATACTCCAGACTTCTTTCTTGGAATGTTCACAATCAGAACTAAAATAGCTGCTGTTCAACTTCCTTTTCCCTCGAGTGGATAATGTGCCAAAAATTGCCTCACAGGTTTTTACAAACATTGAAACGTGTTAGAACTAATCATCCTCTCTCAAAACGCTTATAAAAATTCACCCTTACTGAGTTCTAATTATCGTAAATCCTGAAACTCTGTGATAACATCTAATATTCTACATACCACATCAAGGTTTCCTTCAAGCAACCCTAACAGGAAATATCTTAATAGAAAACAGGTTCAGAAAGGTTATGCATTAACCAAAGGCTCACAGATAGTGAGTGGCAGAGGCCAGATTCATATAACTGTAGTTATTGCCCCTTAAAACTGCAAATGACAAGTTACAGAAAGCTCATTTTAGGGGCTGGGGATTTAGCTCAGCAGCATAAGCACCTGCCTTGCAAGCAGGCAGTCGTGAGTTCCATCCCTGGTTAAAAAAAAAAAAAAAAAAAAAAAAAAAAAAAAAAAAAAACACTCACTTAAAAATGGTTTCATTAAAAAGAAAACCGATTTCATAGATCCATTGTAGGGGCCCTGGGCGCCACTTCCAGTACGGGAAAACTATTTTTACCTCATCAACACTGAACAGATTAATTACTCTTGAGATTCTTTGGGAGACTCTTATTCTCTATGTTATCTCTAACAAGATTTTAATAACTGAGAGTCAAGCTTTAAGTTACACATCTTTCTGTTTATGTTTAATTCAGCACCGCTATCAGACTTAAACTATTTGAGTCACTGTCCCCAGGCAACCAGGGAGGGAACGGGAGATGGGATAGCAAATGCTACACTGTACTTTCCAGCAAAGAGGTGACCATGCGTCAGGACAGTAGAAGAAAGTTTCAGGAAAAAGGTAAAACTGTGCTGGACCTTAAAAAGACCTTAAAAAGATCAGAAAGGGTACTCAGAAGAAAACACACAGGGGTCTCCCTGTGTCAGAGATATATAATAGAAGTTCACATATCTCTAAAAACACGAGTGTGCACTGTCAGACAGCTGGAGTGACTGGCAGTTTTGTTTTCGGCTGACATCATGAATAGAGGCGATCTTGAAGTTAAATGACCTAATGTAAGAACGGCTGGAACGGAGAGATAAGCCTTGATCCGAGACTCGAGATCCATGTCCCGGAGCCTCAGAGGAAGGTCTCTTCAGTCCCACTACCTGAGACCACCCCCGCTTTTGGTGGCGCAGTATCTTGGCGCGCTGTAGTATAGACGCTACCATTTCGGCACACTCTGGTTGGTGCGCACGCGCGAAGCCCTTCTTTCCGCACAAAGACTATAGGAGGCGTATGCGCAAGCGCTCTGTGCCTCTTTGAGGAGAACGTCATCATCCCGCCTCCTGGCAAACGGAGTAGCGCAACGCCTGCGCTGTGAGGGCTTTCAGGATTTATTTCACGCTGCGGGCGGCGGTGACGTGATGAGTAGTCAAGGAACGGAAGCCGGGAAGGAACTAGGGCGGAAGGGGACCACGGGCCAGGATTGTGTTCGGTTCCTTGGGGGTTCCGATGTGGTCCCCGGAACGGGAGGCCGAGGCCCCGGCCGGGGGAGAGCCGGCGGGCCTCCTGCCCCCGGAGTGGGAGGAGGATGAGGAGCGTATGTCCTTCCTGTTTTCGGCTTTCAAGAGGAGTCGCGAGGTGAACAGCACCGACTGGGACAGCAAGATGGGATTCTGGGCGCCGTTGGTGCTGAGCTACAGCCGCCGCCAGGGGGTGGTGCGCCTGCGTCTGCGAGACTTGCAGGAGGCCTTTCAGCGCAAGGGGAGCGTCCCGCTAGGGCTGGCCACGGTGCTACAGGACCTGCTGCGGTGAGGGGCGGGCCGGGGCCCGGGCGGTGGGCGGGGCGGCTCCCCGCGGGACGTGCTCCCCCACTGTGTGACGGCGCTGCGTGCCCAGCCCGGGGTCTGGCCCAGAGTGGGCAAAAGAGGAGACACACAAGGAGGCCGGACTACAGGGTGCAGGGGTGAGCTCGGGGTGGGGCTGGGGTAGTCCAATTAGACGCGTTCCACATGTCTCTGCCCGGCAAAGGTGACAATGACTTGTGTGAACTGAAATCCCATTATGTAGTTATGTAGTTATTACCTAAGGGCCACATTTGAGATGCCCGTGTACCACGAGGTCTAGGAGATAGTATTCATTGAACTAAGGACGATCGGAGCAAAGGGTGTTTGTGGGCAGGCATGCGTCCAGCCTTTCCTGGCCAGTGTTTGGCACAGGCTGTTGGAGCAGAGAGGACATGGGGAAGAAGAGGGCTTTCCTGAGTACCTGGGCACCCCGAAGAGGTCTGTAGGTGACACATCCGTGACGGGTGCTGTATTTTGGAAGTGCCTGAGTAGATAGCACTGATACTTAGTAGATGATAGCACCCAACAGTATGCAGATACTTTTCATCTGACTCTTTCAGCAGTCTTAGGAAAGAGATAATAAAATTCACCTTGGAAAGCAGACCGAGAAAAAGTAACTGACTTACGGCTGCTTGGAAGTCCCCTCATTACTGGGCTCCTCCTACTCTTTGGATTCTAAGTTACTTGCACTTCACACTGAATGCATTGTACTAAGCCCAGTACCTAGCATGGTGCTTGCCTCAGTGAGTGAAGGAGAAAGTTAACTCTAGTAGTTTTTAGCTTGCTATTCTTTCTAATGGAAGGATTTGGCTTCTCTCCTATTCTCAGTACCTCTCCATTGACTGACGTTGACGAACCAGGCTTTCAGAATTTCTCCTTTCTGAGCAAGTGAACTATGGAGAAAGTTTTGCCTCACGCCTAAAGTGGAGAACAGGGGAGACATTAGCTAAAGAAACCATGGTGGACAAGAGTGGAGTGGGCCTTCTACCACTTCAATCCAGAGACCTTTTAAGAGCTTGATCCCTCCTCTGCTGAGTGCAGTTCTTTGAAGATGCCTGGTCCCTGACTGGGCGTGACACCTGACTGAGTTTCCCCACAGACTCAACATAGCAGTCAACAGCTCTGCAGGAGTGCTCTGCCATTTGTTAAATTGTGTGATTCTGGACAAGTTATATGTCATGTTTAACCCCTAGCTTAACAAATTAATTATAAGATGGTGGTGATAATTGTATCTACATTTATTGTGAGAATTTGAAGATCCTTATGTAGCTCTTAACATAGTAACTTCAGCATATTTAGCTGCATTTACGTTACAGGTAGCAGGAAGTACTTAATCTTATGACCTGCTTAGCTTAGGGATAGCAGGAAGCCCTATTTCTATACAACTTTGTGTTTTTCCCTATGTCTTTTACTGTGGCCCATTGTTGTTACTTTCATTGCATTTCTTTGAGCTCCATTTGTAAGAGGAAAACTTAGTGCAGGCGCAGTACCTGCTGTGTCTCTGGAGTCAGGTGGGCACTTGTATTTAGAATCTGGATCCTGGCTTCTACCCAGTCTTCTTTACCTGCTCAGGGCCTGGGTTTCCTCACTGGTTACCGTGCTGGTGACACCACCTGTCTTGCAGAGTGGTTATGAGGTTGAACGCTAGAGCAATAAGCAATAAGTGCACAGTAGAGCAATAGGCCTAACAAATGATTGTTGAGATGAAGAAATTTCTCTTTTGGGCTGAGGGGACAGGTAGGGGCTGGAATGGGCCATTGCGTTAAGTGCTGCCCTGTGCCTTTCTCCTCCTTTCCCTACAGTCGAGGGGAGCTGCAGCGAGAGTCAGACTTCATGGCCAGCGTGGACAGCAGCTGGATCTCCTGGGGGGTTGGCGTCTTCCTGCTGAAACCCCTCAAGTGGACTCTGTCCAATGTGCTGGGGGATAATAAGGTCCCTGCTGAGGAGGTGCTTGTGGCCGTAGAGCTGCTGAAGGTGAGTGTACAGAAGGGAAGGGCTGGGGTCACCTGAATGACAGGAGTGTCTGCTTGTGTGCATTCTTGAGGAAGACTCTTCCATGGTGACGGAGTTGATACCCGAGTTTACCCAGCCTCCCTGAGCTGTCCTTTGTAGTGTTATCATTTGTTATGTGTGATGCTTGTTCTAGGAATCATCTGTAACAAACAGTTGATTGCTTCCTGGTGTTGTAAGGAATATTGATAAGTGATAATTGAGGAAATGCTTTGCCTTCTGTAGTTTACTGTAAGAAATCCCCAGGATTTCTGAGGATCTTGTGACTTTCAGTTTTGCCTACCACTAAATTAACAGACAAGGCTCTAATTTCCTACTCAGAATCTGCTCAGTTTCCCCTCCAGCTTGCTGAGGGCTGCCTTCCGCTGACCTTGCTCTTCTGCCTCGAAGCAGCCACCAGCACTTGGTCCCGTCTTCCCCTGTGCAAGCAGCGTCTTTCCTGCTGCCTTCTCCCAGCCTCTGTCCTCCACTGGTTTAACAGGCACCTTCAGTGCCCGTAGCAAGTTGCCCCCTTGTCCCACTGGAAAGACACACAGCCATTCCTGCTCTATGTCACCCAGATGGGGCCCTGCTTGTATCTCCAGGTGTTCGAGGGCCCTCAGTGTCTCTGCAGACCACGTCCAACCCTCAATGCCCTTCCACTCCTGCTCCCTTCTCTCTGCAAATGCCACAAAAAGATGGCCTCAGAAGCATGCCTTCCACTTGCTGTCCTGCCCCCTGAAGTTCTGCATTCTTATGCTATGAGGGTGAAGTGGCCTCCTTCCCTCCCACAGTGCTCCTGAGCCTGCCCCACCTTCCCTGTCCCTGTGTCCCATCAGCCTTTGCTCTTTATATTGTATTTCTTTCTCTTTCAATGCTTTCTTCCTTGGCTTCAACCCACCAAGCTTTTCCCATCACAAGTTGACTCTTTTATGGTCTCTGGCTCCTGCCAGCTATTGCTCTGTCTCTCTCTGTTTGTCTCCATTTGTCTGTCTATCTCTCACTGAAGCTGCTGTGCACAGGGTTACGAAACCTTGAAGTGGGTGTGTGTTTACGAAGTTGACTGAGTACCAGATAGTCAGCTAATTGGTTTTAGTTTTGAAAGCCATAGACCAAGCCCAACCCAGTACCACAGAAATAACAAAGAATAGTAAGTCTTCAAGCTCTCTGAGTGCAGTACTGCTAAACTGGTGCTCGCCTCACTAACTGAGCACCTCACCATTTGCTTGAATAGTTGGTGGCTCCATTGTTTTCTCGGGCAGGGCTGGGGGCGGCTACTTACATTTCTGACATTATAGGGCTCTTACCTAGGTGTAGAAGAGAAAGATGCAGACATAGAGAAAAAAACCTGCAGCTGAGGGAGATTGGTTTTCCTAAGCCTAGACTTAGAAAACACCTTGTAACTTTTTATCTTCTTTTAAACAGTCTCGAAAATATTAAAAAAAAAAAAATTGCCTATGATTTTGCTTTGGAAAAAAGTATACAAAAAATTGAGTTTCTGAAAAACTTTTCGGTGTGGTTAGAAGACAGAAAATAAAGTGGCTTTTATTTTAAGGATGTGGAGAGAAACTCCATGACCACCAGGGCCTGGCTTTCTCTGCCAGACACGTGGTGTGGGGGCATACATACAGCTTTGGTCTGGGGTGCTGCCTAAAGGGGCGCTACTGATACGCCAGCAGCTGACTGGAACTCATTTCACCCCACAGGTAAATTGCCGGGGGGGGGGGGATGCCCTCAAGGTAAACATCCCTTGGTCCTGCCTCTCACTGCTGTAGTGTCCTATCTAGGGCCAGATCCTTTCATTCCATTTTTTTATTGTTAGGAAAAGGGCGAAGTTCTCTGTCTTACTACTTTCTGCTGAAAGGGGGCCCCGTATTGGAGTTTAGGAGGGTTGACAGAATGACGGTTGATGTCCATGCAGAAGCTGGTGCCAGGTGTTTCAGCCAGGACAACTTTATCATTGGAAAATGCCTGCACATTAGACTGGAAAAACAAAGAAACAAAGTGCTATGAAGAGGCAGGTGAGGTAGAAGAAAAGGTGCCTTTTATTTAGATATGTAGATTCATTACCATTGTGAGGTAGAATCATTACCATGATGAGGTAGAATTCTGAAAAATAAGTGTGAAGTTAGGAAGAGTAAAGCTATGAGAGGTGATTATTCTCCCATCTGAAAGGGTAAAACTTAAGAGTGTAGGTAGGCAGGGCTTGTCTCTGGTCCAGGAGTTGAGCTGGAAAGAATAAGAGGGTGGGGATGGCCATGGCTGTGTCACTTTAAGGAAGGTAAGAGCCTAGGCCTTTAGGGATGTCACGTTTGACCAAACAGCTGAGGGTAGAGAGAACTAAGACAGTTGTCACGTAAAACAGTATGAAGACAATCTTACGCATGATGTGGGAGTCTTTAGGAAAGACTGTTAAGAGTTCTGCTGTAAAAAGAATAATTAATAGAATGTAAGAAATTAGGAACCAAATTGGATAACAAAACATGACTTAGCCTGAGAGTTGTGGCTGTGAGGCCTTGATGAGACAGAGATGGGTGGGCGACAGAAGATGAGATGACCGCTGAGGATGGTTAGATTTAGGGCTGGGAGGGCACTGCTTAGCCTGAGTGATGTGAGGATGGCAGTTAGCAACTTTGACTGCTGTTCGGGTTGCCAAGAAGACCAAGTATGGGCTACTTCACCTTGGTTGTAGTCCTTGCGATGATTTGCTGTTATAGGACTTTAGTATATCAGCAGTTCCCCTGGTTGTGGGAAAGGCTTTTATCTATCTAGAAAAAGTACAGACAAAGGTGAGGAGATTTTTGAGAGTTTTGTGGGAGGGCACGTGTGTGACCAGGGTTGTGTCTGAGAAATTGATGAATAGGAAAGGAAGGGGGTGCTATGTGTCCCTGAGGAGAGGTTTTCCTAGAGATAACAGATGTAGGCTGTTGAGACCTCAGAGTGTCTGGGTTAGTCTGCATAAACACAAAGGAATAAAAAAGGCATTTTTAAGATCTGTGAATATAAAGTGAGTGGTAGAGGGAGGAATATGAGAGAGCATGGTATAAGGGTTTGATACCACTGGGTGGATTGGGGTAATAGCACTATTGATTATCCTAAAGTCCTTTACTAGAGGGTAAGACCCATCAGGCTTGAGTACCGGGAGAATGGGAGTGTTATAGGGTGAATGGGTAGCTTTAAGAAAACCATTGTCTAAAAGGTACTTAATTATAGATTTAAGTCCCTGTAAATGTTTAGGAGCTATGGAATATTGGGGAACACGAGGAAAAATTGAAGGATTCCTAAGATGAATTAAAATAGGAATGGCATGGACAGCGCAAGTGGAATTGGAGGTCTCTCAAACTATGGGATCGACCAGAGAAAAAGGGAGCCTGGAACCTGCATGAAATAGGTCCTGTCTGTAAAGGCTGCATAGGTTGGCCATCAACACCTCCTCTAGAGACTGAGGACTTAATATAGTGGCCTGAAAACTTAGGAAGGACCCTATACATGGCCTCTATGTCCACAAGTATAGAGAATGATGAATCTGGCAATGATGGGGGAATCTGGCAGTGATGGTGTTTCCTGTGAGGGCAAGGATTTGGCTTACCTGCTCTCTGGCAGCTAGGACAGCCCATGGCCGTGGGGCAAGGCCCCAAAGGAACTCCAGGACTGGGGTATTCTCTTGCCCAATGTCCTTTTTTGCTGCACTTGAAGCATGGTCCAGGAGGGGCTCAGGCAGCTCCACCTTGTGTCGGTTTACCTGTCTCAGAGCTCTCAACTGTCACTGCTAAAAGATCAGAATGTTATTTTTTATCTCTGTTGTTGAAAACACGAAAAGCCATACTAAGAAGGTCTCCCTGTGGGGTTTGAGGGACAAGTTTAGCCTTTTGTCTTGGAATCTGGCCCACAGTGGAAGGTATCTGTAAAATCAATTAAGTATGCAGGAGTCAAATAATACAGTCAACAGGGTATTTATGATCATAACCTTAGCAGTGGCTTCCCATAAGGAGGATAAGGATAAGGTCCAGAGAATTTTAGGAACTGACACGTCATTCATTTGTCATATGTAAGTACCTCTTATCCTGTTAGAATGTCTAATGCCATCTGATTTTTGGAGGATGGCCTTTTTATTTAGTAGAGAGATCAGCTATGGTGTCATTTAACGGCAGTTGAGTATAGTTAATTATGGCTCGGTGGAGGGCTAAGCCAGGGCCAGCAGATGGGCTGGGAAAGGCTCAATCCTAGCCTCTGCCCCAGTACTGGTCTCATTTTTCTGCATGTATCATATAACCATTTTTTTTGGGGGGGGGGGATCTGGTGGATCCTGGCAATAGGAATCCAAAAGGAATTTATAATTAATCTCTTAATTTCAGTTGTTGAACATCCAGAAGACTGGTAACAGTACCATGCAGTATAGGCAATAAGCTTAACATAGAACATTAAATGGCTATTAACCATGTGTATTTTAAGATTTGAGTGCTGAAGAAATTTGTGAAGCATCTCTAAGCATACATCTGGATCTGAAAGAAAACACTTGTCATCATACATTACATAAGTTTTTGTTTAAAAATTATTATTTGACTGGTGACATTGTATTGGTCTGATCTGAATCTCCTGGCTGGAACACAAGAAAAAGGCAGCAGAAACAACCCCAATTTTATATTTGAAGGCATGATTATACCATCAGATCAGCAGCAATGCATTGTCTTAGTCATACGAACTTTATTTTTTTTTTAATATTTTTTTTTGTCTTTTTCATTTTTATCGGTACCGGGGATTGAACTCACGACCACCTGCTTGCAAGGCAGGTGCTTATACCACTGAGCTAAACCCCCAGTCCCAGTCATATGAACTTTAGTTGAGGTGTCTCCCATAAGGCTATGGAGATTATTGGAGGTTTCAATTAATAAACAGGGGCTGGTTAAAATTACAGGTGGCTACTTTCCTGTCCATCAGTTGAAGTCCTGTCCAATGTCTTCTCAAGGGATTTTGTTTAACCAATT